ATCAGCAGAAAAATGCTGAGTGAGGGGAGGCAGGAGCCAGCACTAATCGCTGGTGGTGCCCCAGCACACCCAAGAGCGCAGCCTCTGCGTTAGAGGCCTCACCTCTCCCAGCAAAGTGGGTGCCACTGGGAGCTCCACTTGGGCTTCAACGCTTCCCTCCAAGCTGCATTTCAGCCCGTGTCACTGCCACATAGCCAACGGCTGATGCAGTATGACTTTGCCTTGAGTTTTGCAGGCTATTTATTGAGGGTGATGGCTGGAAAGTCAAGCTCATCAAGATGTCTTCACTAGCAGCTGGGATACTGCTGCTGGGTTGTTCCTCCCACTGGCGGGCTTTGGGGAGGCTGCTATAAAGGAAACCAAGAGCTTGCATGGGGCTTTCTCTGTTGAGCTGTTGCTCAAGGTTAATGGCCAGGTCTATCACAAATGCAATCACCAATGAACTCTAAGAATGAGCTGTTACTATGATTTATTAGTGAGGAAAACCTGAGAATAAGGAAACGTCATATCTATTGACCCCTATGCAAACATATGCACACATATGTACACAGATTATAACAGTTTATAAATGTTGTACACACCACGATAAATTTTGTACAGAAAACCACACAGGCTCCTCCCCTCCCCCCCCTCCCCCTTTTTACCCATCTTTATAGAAACTCAGGCTGCACTGACTGTGTTATTTTAAGTCAACATCGACTTCGAGGTCCCCCCCCGAGAATTTTCTCTACGTGAGCCTGATGGAACAGGGTGATGAGTTTGGCCCTACAAATCTATCAAGACCAGGATGGGCAAAGTGATGAGTTCATGCCACAGCTTGCCATTTTTAGGCCTGCGGTTCCCTATGTACAGCAGAGCGACTGAAGGTGGATGCTCTAAGGTGTAAAAGCTAAGGGTCTTAGACATCCAAGCAGTGTGCAGCACAGGAAAATGCCACCGAGTGCTATGAAGAGGAATGAGACTTTGGAAACTGCTGCGAAGAACATCGGGGAGAGGCAAAGGACATAGTTGGTAGATTGGTAACACTGGATGGAAGTATTGCCATCCCACTTACACTGGGTCTTCAAGAGAAAGCATTGCCCATGCCTGTGTTTCAGGACAGTGGTCTTTATGCTGTGTGAAACCCACATACTGACCAAAGCAAGTTTGTCTTGTGCTGTGGAAGACAACCCCAAACATGACCATGCAAGGGGCAAAAGACTGCGGTGTCAGTCCTAGCAGGCTCCATACCTGCTGATGGTTTCCCCCAAGGATGGGGCCACCAGGTAGCACAGCCTCTGGCTAACAGTCCATGGCACAGCTACTATGCCCATCGCAAAAAAGCCATATGCATCCACCAGGCAGAGCTCTGGAGTAGAAGAAAGGCCATCATGCAGCCACATCCACACACAGTTCAGGCCCTGGGAAATGGCTCAGAGAAATGCAACGGTTCTTGGCATCCACAGTGAAT